TTTGTATTAGGAGAAGGGTGTGTGCTGAGATACACAGTACAGGTTGAGTCTCTGTCTCCCTTATCCGAAATGCTTGGGATGAGAAGTGTTTTGGATTTCGGAGTTTTTCAGATTTGAGAATATTTGCACAGGTTGCACACAGAGCAATAGCACTTTACATTTCTATACCACGTCATGGTGAACTAAGTACTGCCTAAGCAGCCCCCAACGAGCTGGGTACTTGTTTTACTGACCTACGAAAGGATGGAAGACTGAGTCAACCTGGAGCCCTGCGGGTTCGAACTCACAATGTTGTGACTGCAGTACTGGCATTTAACCACTGCGCTAATACTTCATATGTATTGAGAACATGAAATTTATTTACGTTTCATATGCACATAGTCTGAAGGTAGTTTTATACACAATATTTTTTAATAATTTTGTGCATAATACAAAGTTCACTGAACCAACAGAAAAAAAAGGTGTCATTGGACCTCTGCAGACTGGGCCAAAGGGCCGGCCTGGAGGTAGAGTTGGGGCAGGGCAGCTGCACACCGGCTGCCCCAGTCCCACACCGACGGTGTCCTGATACCGCATGCTGTTACACATGGCGCTTACACATCAGGATGCCCTACCGGCGCAGCATTCTGACATACTGCACCGAAAAGGGCAAGAAGAGCCGTATGCTGGCTCTTAGGGCTGCCTTTTGCCACCCCTAAGAGGAGTGGCATTTTGCTGCTCTTTTTGGGACAGCAAAAGGGAGGATGAGGGCCACAGTATGGGGTTGCCGCGGCCACGATCTGCTGCTTCCAGGGGCATCCCAGAGCTGCCTGTCTGCAGAGGCCCATTGTCTCAGCCACCCATGTGGACAAATTTGGATTTTGGAACTCTGGATAAGGGAAACTCTATCTGTAGTTAGTTGCAGAGATCTGTGAAGAACTTGGAGGAATAAACAGAGATGGGGAAAGGCATTGCTACCCAGATTTTATTGGAATTCAGTTCCCATTGTCCTTTCCCAGGGTTGAAGAAAACTCTAGTCCAACTGTATCTGGAAAGTCACACATCCTCTATTCCTTCTGGATGGGCCAGAGGCAGCCCCAATCAAAGCCCTAAATCTAGGGTGGGAATCACACTGCAGCCCCCAGGATTCTGCATTATTGGCTAAACTGGCTAGGGCTGATGGGATTTGTAGTCCAATAACATGTGGATGGCTCCATGATTCCCCCCCCCCAGCTCAGATTGAGATACTTGCCCCAACTAGAGACGATCTACTAAGTCAACAGGATTAACACAAGTCAATGGGACCAGCTGACCATTCAGAAGTTGAGTCATTGGGTGTACTCTGGTTAAAGTGAGCTGTTGGATTTAGATGAGTGAGTACAGGAGAGAAGAGGCTGATGGGCTTAATGTGTGAGTTAATGTGACTCATGAAAACCTTAATAAATTCAAGGTGTCTGCTCTTCTTAAACTAAACTATAGAGGCCCTTAGTATCTGCTGGGATTCGGTTCCAGGACCCCCTGTGGATGCCAAAATCCATGAATGCTCAAGTCCCATTGAATAAAATGGCACAATAAGATGATGTCCCTTGTATAAAATGACAAAATCAACATTTTCTTTTTGGAATGAATATAGTTTAAAGATATTTTCAAACTGTGGGTGCTTGAATCCATGGATAAAAAAATCTGTGGGTATGGAGGGCTGACTGTAGTTTAGTTTGTTTGGTAACTTTAATCATGTTTTAAATTTTACTGACATTTTAAAAAGACACAAACAAATGATGCAGCTTTCAGTGCTATTGGAAGCTGGTATACTTATTAACAGAGGAACTGGATGAAATTAGGTGCTGGATAGTTTTCCATGTGAATTCAGAAGGAAAATGGGGTAGAGCATAGGTGGTGAGCCAATATCTCTCCAGATGATGTTACTAGGGGCATGCAGGATGATGGGAGTTGTTTGGAGGGCCACAGATTCTCCACCCCCTGAGTTAGAGGCTTCATTTTGAGAGCTGGGCAGGAAAGCACATGCTGCTGTACAGTGTCCAGTCCTTTTAGTGAGGTGTATTCAGGAGAAGTTCCTGATGGCCATATTCCCATTAGAAACCTTACGGGATGGTGATCTCTTGATTCCCATTCCTCTGCCCTTGTAGTGGTGATCATCGTTTGCTGCTTGAGAGAACCTGGCTTATCCAGCGTCAAGAGGAATTTAGACCTTGTTTTACCCCCTTGTCCAGGCCTGGCGGGTGGTGGAGGTGGTGATGGGTGGTTGCGAGAGCTAGAAGGCTTCTTGTTGTATCTCTTTAATGTCAACAGGTGTGAAGCTGGGCTTGCGCTCTATCCCCATTGCCACAGCTTGTACCATATATCACCGATTCTTTATGGAAGTGCCTCTGGAACCATATGATCCCTACCTGGTAGCCATGGCTGCCCTTTACCTGGCAGGGAAGGTAGAAGAGCAGCATCTGCGGACAAGAGACATTATCAATGTGAGCCACAGGTAAAGAAGGGGGAGTTGTCTCCATGTGTGTGTGTGTATGTGTGTGAGAGAGAGAGAGAGACAGACAGACAGAGAATGCTGAATTCAATGGATTAAGAGTCTGTAACTACATGGGCAAAGAGCCAGAATGGCTTAGTGGTTTGAGCATTAGACTCTGGAGACCAAGGTTTAATTCCCAGCTTTTCCATGAAACCTGCTGGTTGACCTTGGGTAAGTCAAATGCTCTCAGCCTCAGGGGAAGGCAATGGCAAACCTCCGCTACAGATTGTTCTAAGAAAACCCCATAGGGAAATGGCCTTAGGGAAATGACTTGAAGGCCAGCAACAAGAAACAACAACTACTACACAGAGCTTTAAAGTGCAGAGCCTGTTTTCATTTACATTGACAACGGATGCCACCCAAAAGGATTTTGCACACTCAAATGTTTTGGTTGCAATTGAGCAAAGCCCCTTTGCTTCAAATGGGACTTCTAAGGTAAGGGCAGTGAGCTTGTGGTTTTTCAGATGACCTTAGATATCAGCTTGGCTCAGTATCACAATACAGTTATAGCATTATTATTCCATTTTAAATGCTTTAGCTGCCTCCTGTGGCATTCTGGGGTTTGTAGTTTAGTGAGGTATAACAGCTCACTGGCTGAAAATCCTAAAGGCCCTTACCTCAACTGTAAATCCTACGATCCCACAGAAACTAGCTATAGCAATTGAAGTGGAATAATAGCACTATAATAATGTAGTGCTGTATTGTCCAAAAACCCATCAGTTTCAGCTGGGAGGGCTGATACTGAGATATCTGGGGAGCTAGTGCAGGATGCTAACAGTTACCAATCAATATGCTTAATAAAATCCATTAAAGAGTCATGAAATAAGTTACGATACATGGGGCTAGGAATAAGAAATGTTCTTTTTAAACAAATAAAAATAAACCCTTTTTTATTCCATGTTATTCAGTAGCCACACAAGAACAGCCTTCAACAATTACATCTGCCCTGCCAATTAAAATGTGGCCTTGCGGTTTAAATGTGGCCCCACCAGTGAATCAAATTAGTAAACTTTTGATTGATGAATTTACTGATTGAAGGAGGGATAGGCAACTTCCAAAGATATTGGCAGTATGTCAGGGCGTGTGTGTGTTTATATACTTTGCATGGAACATGGAGGGCTCTGATGGCATCCCCTCCCCATTTTTTTGTTTTGTTTTGTTTTGTTTTGTTTTGATAGAAAACAATCCCTGCTCACGTTTTATTGGAGATTTGGGTTCCATTCCACCACATTTCTCCTGATCTGTTTGAGGTTGTGGATGAGGGATTTTGTTTAGAAAAGAAAGTAACCATACGTAATTATGGAATGACTATGACTATGGAATGACCTACTGGAGGTGATTCGACAGTTGAATATGCTGTCTGAATTTAAAAGAGCATGAAAGACCATCTCTTCCAGCAAGCTTATCCAGATTATTTTTAAATTGTGAATTTTAAATGATGAATTTTAAATTTGGATTGTTTTAATATGTGTACATTTTATTTGCCCTTTTAAATTGATGTGTGTTTTAACTGATGTATTTTGTCTGTTAATTGTTGTTCTTCACCTTGAACCATGGGGAGAGGCATGTTAATAATAATAATAATAATGCCTGTACTTTGCCCAGCCCCAGATTAAAGCTTGCTGGCACAGTCATACATTTTGTCAAGGAACCTAAAGTCACATTAGGAAAAGAGAGGGAGAGGAATTTGGCTTCTCCAGAAGGAGAAAGTGGCTGATACTTTTAGATCAAGTTCAAGATTTGCATATACTTGAGGTTTTTTGGCCACTAGAGCCAGGACAAAGTGAAATTATTCGCAGGGAAGAGAGAGCCTTAACCTCTGTCCTTCTGTTTTCTTCCCACCAGGTACCTACATCCCCGGAGTGATACCCTGGAGCTGGACACCCATTTCTGGGAGCTGAGGGACAGCATTGTCCAGTGTGAGCTGCTCATGCTACGGATGCTCTGCTTCCGTGTCTCCTTCCAGCACCCTCATAAGGTCCAGGCTGAACAGCGTGGGGCTCAGGGTAGAAATGGGGAGTGTAAATTGCCTGGAAGGAAAGGGGTTTGGTTTTTATTAGTTTTTATTTCTGTACAGAGCAGGAATGGGCACCTTCTGGTCCTCTTGATGATGCTGAACTGCAACACCCTTCACTCATCACCAGTGGCTATATTAGCTAGGGAATTGTAATGTGACAACATATAGGGGGCCACAAGTTGCCCACCTCATTTATGAAAAATCTTAATTTATTGTGAAGATTAATTTACTTGATATAATTTAATTTATGACCCCTTTGTCCTTGAAAGAGCCCAGAGTAGCTAGCAAGTTAGCTAAAATATAACTGATCTCATAAAGCCATAAATACATAATTGTTGTTGTTGTGTGCCTTCAAGTTGTTTCCCACTTATGGTGACCCTATCATGGGGTTTTCTTGGCAAGATTTGTTCAGAGGAGGTTTGCCGTTGGGGCTGAGAGGATGACTTGCCCAAGATCAGCCAGTGGGTTTCATGGCCAATCAGGGAATTGAACCTCGGTCTCCAGAGTCATAGTCCAGCATTCAGACCACTGTGTCACATGGGTAACTGTAGGCAAAAAAACAGCAGAGTAATTAACAGAGAAAGGAACCGTGCCACTGCTTACACTTCAAAAGCCTGTAAAAATAAAAATGTGTTTTTAACTGGATCTTAAAAGATAGCAGTGTGGAGGACAAATCTTTTGTGGAAGAGAGTTGCATAGCTGGGTGCTGGCTAAATGAAAAATTCCTTAAACCTCAATTGAGCAGGGATTGTTGTATGAAGTGACCAGATGGACTTCAGCAGCCATCAGTTTCTCCAGACAAACCTAGGGTGTACCTACACTGTAGGAACAAAGCAGTTTGACACCACTTTATGTGCTGTAGCTTCATCCTGTGGAATCCTGGGATTTGTAGTTTTACAAGAACTTTAGCCTTCTTTGCCAAATAATGCTGGTGCCTCACAAAACTGCAAATCCAAGGATTGTGTAGGATAGAGCTATGGCAGTTAATGTGGAGTCAAACTGCAAAATGCATTATTTATACAGTGCAGATGCACCCTTAATCTGACACAAATGCTCAGAGAGAGAGTGTGGAGTTGTGGTTTTGTAGCAGTGATGGTGGAACGAGTGGCCAATGATGTTGGATGCTATCCCCAACATTCATCACTATTGTCTATTCTGGCTAGAGCTGAAGGTAGTTTTAGTCCAGCAGCATCTGAAAAGCCACACATTCCTCCATCCCAGAGGCAGGGTGTTAGACTGGAGTCTTGAGTTCAGATCCACCATTGGGGTGGAGTGAAGTGGGTGGCCTTAGACAAATCACTCTCTGATTAACCTACCTAGCAGGGGGACTGTGAGGATAAAATGGAAAAGGTAGAAATAGGAAATAGTTGTGCTATTGTGCTGTGAGGAATGGAGAGCTGAAATGAGGAATGCAGAGCTGAAATGTAGGGCCTCTTGAAGGTGGTCTGCTGCTGCTGCTGCTGCTGCTGCTGCTTCTGGAAGCTAAATGTGGTTCCTAGTCTGCACTGGAAATTAATGGCCTTTTCACCAGAGATGTTGATAAATTGCCCCCACTTCACCCCTCCTTTGCTACCATCCCTGACAGCTGCTCTCTTCTCTCTTGCAGTACCTTCTCCACTATTTACTCTCCCTGAAGCATTGGATGAACCGACACAGTTGGGACCGGACCCCAGTGGCAGTGGCAGCATGGGCCCTGTTGCGGGACAGCTATCATGGGCCCCTGTGCCTCCAGCATGCCCCCCAGCACATTGCTGTCACTGTCCTTTATCTTGCTCTTCAGTGTTATGGGGTGGAGGTGCCGGCTGAGGCGGAAGCTGAGCGGCCTTGGTGGCAGGTGAGAGTGGGGTGGTGGTTGTGGTATGCGGGAAGCAGGGGAGTGAGGTTCAAGCAAGCCACTGACTGGAAGAAGAATGGTTTATATTTCCCCAGCATGGTCTCTGTGGCCAGGTCTGCGCAGTCCAGAATACTCTTAAATTCTGGCTCCAAAACTGTCTGACATTCCCCCCCCCCCAATTACCTGGAGTCCTCCATTGTAATGCCAAGCAGCTATTAGCATTGATGTCCTGCTATGCTGTTCACCGCTGGTGCAAGTAACTTGCTCTGAGATCAGAACAAGGTACCCAGCATTGATTACACAGCTGGATGCCTCATTTTGATTTCAGCCGCAGTGGCAACGGCCAGTGCAGCGGGACGCATTGTAAAAAACTGCCCGGTGTTGCAACAGAGGGTTCTGGCTCTTCCAGGAGGATTTGGAGCAAAAGATAATTGATTTTAAACCATTGTAAAGGGGGGGGGGGTCTAGTTCAGGTTCCATTCTGAACTGGCCATACATCATCCAGATAGTTTGCACCAGAACTGGGAATTGAAACCTGCATTCAGACTGCTTGCTGTGAGGAAAGAAGGAGGACATTTTATTTGTCCCCTGTGGGCAAACCCTGAGTGTGCCTGTGTGGGATTTTTCAACAGACTTTAGTCACAGCCTTAGAAGAGGAAGTGCCATTCCCTTGGCAGTGGAATCACTGCTGTCCCAAGGGCTGCACCAAGATTGGGGAATGTGTGACTCTCCAGATAAACTACTTTTAATATAGCAAATTTGATAATATTATGCAAAACAAAATTATGTATAACACATTCGATGTTCCTAAAGTAACAAAATTACTTTCCATCTGTAAAAGGTGCTAATATTGCATTTTTCAATATTTTCAAAAATTATGTTGTTTTCTGGGGGTTGGGAACCTGGAAAAATATTTTTTTTCTGTTTATATTTCTATTTATGATGGGATTTGTAGTCCAACAATATCTGCAGGTCTCAGCTTTCCCATTTCTGAATTATCACATGTCTCGCACTGGTTGCGTCCAGTTCCTTTCTTTGTTCAGGGCAGGCTAGGGAAGAGGTTGTGCAGCTCTGCCTCTGAAACTCTTGGGACTTTCTTTCAGATCAGGGCATAACTATTAAATGAAGTGCTCAAAAGTCAGAGGCACAATAACATGAGATATGGGAGATCCTTGACTGAGCCTCCAATGTTGGTTTGTTCTTAAATGACATGGGGAGCTTGGATTGGATCAGGACCGTAGTTCTAAGAAGGGTTTCTTTTTAACTCTTTCACCTGTGCATTGTATTCTAGTGTAAGCCCCACCCCACTCTTGCCCTATTTGCTGTTTGAGGCAAAACATACAAATACTCAGTGGAGTGAACAATAGTTCCAGGGGACAAATTCATTTGGAAAAATAAGTAGTGTGTTATTTGAATCTCTCCCCCCCCCCTTGCACAGTGGTGGGCCCAAACGTGGTTCATTTGCCATGTCAAAACAAAACAAAACAAAACAAAACAAACAAACAAACAAAAACTGCACAGAAATTCCATAGAGATTGCCTGCAGTGTCCCATGGCTAGGGATTCTGCGGGTTGCAGCCCACAGAATAACTTTCCCAAGCTCTAATTGAGCCCTGCATAAGCTGTTTCCATAGGGGAAATAGGAAGATTGTGCTAGAGGCCATTATTCCCTTTTTAGATTGCAGCCTTAGTTACCTTCCTGATCTGGGGAATTTCCCCTTTAACCTGCTTTTCCTGGCCTTTTACAGGTGTTCAGTGAAGATCTCTCCAAGAGCATCATTGATCAGATCGTCTTGGACTTGATAAAGATCTATACATTGGATGCTGAGATTGCTTAGGTGCAGAAATTCTGGTGGCTGAGTGTCCCCAGATGAACTGATCACTTCAAACAGGGATTGAAGTGGTAACAAGATGGCCCTGCAACTGACTGAAAAGACTGGTACCAGATCAGTATCTTGCATCCCTTTTAGCCATCCAGTTGAACTGAATCAGGTTCGGATAAGTACCTGTCACTCAATAGAGGTGGTATGCTCCTGGTTTGTGTTGTTCCTGAATCAGGCTCTGATCCATGGTTCATCATCAGCCTTCCCCTGAAACCAATAGGAAGCTGTTTATCCTACTAATCATAATGCTGGATTAGGAATCATTGGGTGCAGGAAATAAGGGGAAGGAGCCCTGTTTTATCTTTCGTGTTCACACCAGTTACACAAGAAATGTGGTACCAGGATATTTTCCCCACCTCTTTCTCTGGTCTTATTCCCCAAAATGACAGCACAGCTCTTGCCTTCCTGCTCTAATGCTTCTACGAGTATGACAGAACCAGGTTAGACTGGAGTAAATCCTGCATGTGGTCCTGAGCTGAGAGGTTTGCAGGGTGCAGGCTGATGCCACTGACATGATTTCTTTAATAAATGGAGGGGGGAAATGGGACTTTCTCTGGAGTGCTACTTTTTCTTCTTAGATGCTTCTGAGTCCAATGGTGTGATGTGTTCAGAGAAGTACCAAAGTGAATGGATAAAGTTCCTGAACACTTTCGGACTTAGAAAAAATGTCTCCAAAGGTGCTGTCTCTGTCTCATCCTCACTTTGTCTGTCTCTCTGTTTGTCTGTAGAGTCAAAGGTTTAGTTCAGTAACTGTGCAGCCCTCCAAGCATTGTTGGGCACCATCTCCCATCATCCCTAGGCAACATAGTTAGTGTTGAGGGTCATGAAGGTTGCATCTGGAGAGCCATAGATTCCCTGTGCTAGATCAAGACACATACCCTTTTCTGTGTCCCTTTTTACAGGAAAGAGACAATGTGGTCAACTCCAGTGTAGGAAGCCTTTTGTCTTTCTACATTTCCCTCATTGGGTGTGAATAGTCTGGGTACCTCTTTTGTATTTCCCCCCATGTTTTAGTGACCAGGGCTGAGATAAAGGAAAGAAGGCTTTGAATTCCTGGAATTGGAGGAAGACACAGGGAAGAAGATGATGAAGAAGAAGAACAAGAAAAAACAACAACCAAGAAGGCATAGGCCAACTGAGGAAGGTTATTCTAAGCAAGTTTTCTCTCTGTGTGCTTTGAAACTTTTCCAGGAGTCCAAGGGTGCATCTACACTGTAGAAATAATTCAGTTTGACACCACTTTAACTTCCATGGTTCCATCCTACAGATAGATCTGTAGGTTTCTGAGACATAAACACAACACTCTGGCAGAGAAGGCTAAAGACCGTGTAAAGCTATAAATTCCAGGATTCCATAGGATGGAGCTACAGGACTTAAAAATGGTGTCAAACTACATTATTTCTATGGTGTAGATGCGCCCTATGTGTGATGGGAGGACATTTCCCTTTGCATGTTTTTAAAAGTGTGAATGAAGTAGGCAAGTCTCACACAGACAGGGTTAGTGGAGAACCAAGAGTGACTAACACTACCTATGAGGTGCACACTTGGTGATACTCTTGGGTTTGCTGCCATACAATGTGTGAAATGGCCTTGGGCTTCTACCAGAAACTGCTAATATATTTTCAGGTTGTACTGAGGAGATTTGGGAACTTAAAAAGACATCCTCTCAGTATTCCTGGAATAGTAGACAAAACACTGAACTAAAGATTAAAGGTATAGTTTGCTATGCCCTTTGTATGTGTGTTGTGTGCTTTCAAGTCGTTTCTGACTTAAGGCGAATCTATTATGGGGATTTCTTGGCAAGATTTGTTCAGAGGAGGTTTGCCATTGCCTTCTCCTGAGGCTGAGAGAGCATGACTTGCCAGTGCTAAGGCAGATAAGGGACACTGATCCATTTTCTTGTGTGCACTTCTGGCAAAAGATAGGAAAGTGTAGATTCCAGGAAATCCTAATACTGTCCCAGGAGATGGGTCTTGTAGAAATAATGTGTCTTGAGCAGTATTTGCGAACAGTGAAATTTAACATAGTTCTAGTTAGGGAGTAGTCATGGTAAAAGACTGATGGGCTGTGCAGAACACTGGAGTCTCAACCATCTTATTTAGTCACCATTAAAGCATAGTTTCATAATTCACAGGGACTGGAAATTTGCTTTGTTGTAAACCAAAGCTAAAATATGCAAACACACTGCTGCTTGTATGTTTGTTGTGTGCCTTCAAGACTTAAGGTGAACCTATCATGGGGTTTTCTTGACAAGATTTGTTCAGAGGAGGTTTGCCATTGCCTTCCCCTGAGGCTGTGAGAGTATGACTTGGCCAGTGTCACCCAGTGGGTTTCGTGGCCGAGCTGGGAATCGAACCCTGGTCTCCAGTGGTCTCCAGAGTCATTGTCCAAAGCTCAAACCACTACCATATATTTTCCTCCTTTTGGTCCCAGTGTATTCACTGGAGTTTACTTCCAGATAGACTCATATAGGATTTCACTGATAATTTTGGAAAACCACACTATGAGAGGGTTGTGAACACTAGAGGCAGATTTAAGTAAAGGAGGAAAGTATGTACGTACTGTTTCAAAACACAAGCTCAGTTTCATCCAATTAAACCGAATAAGAGTGGATTCAGAAGAAATAAGTGTATCTCCAGCCGGTATATAGTAATTATTAATCAATTCCATTGCCTTAGGATATTCCTTTAAAAAAAAAAAGACTAGGCAAATTCATTGGAGGCTGAGTCTGTGCTGTCCATTAACTTCAATAGCTAAATGGATGCTGGAGGAGCTTCCTATCTGTTGTCAAGCATTTGAGATTCTTTGGCTATTTATCTGGTTAGTGGCTGGAGACAGAATATTGAAATTAGACCAGGGTGAGTAGTGTGCACCCTTCCCAATATTATTGGATATTGGAGTAGCGTGCACCCTTTCCAATATTATTCCCAGCCAGAGGTGAGGAATGCTGAGAACTAAAACCCAATTGCTTCTGGATAGTTGCATATTTCTTATCCTTGGGTTAATGCGATCTTTCACTCAGAGAACCCACAAGGCCATTGTGTGCAAATCTCTGTCCATCCATTTTGTGGGACCAGCTCAGCTGCTGCAGCTGCCATCCTTAAATCTCTTCAACAGAATGACTAGATTGAGATATTACGAGGCCCCAGAGGAATCACAGGGAAATTGCCTTTGGTGAATGGGGGCCAGCACTCTCTCTCTCTGTGCGGCAGGTGTACCACAGTTCAAAAGTATGGTCCATTGCTGTTCGTATGCACACTGGTGTGGTTATGCCTTCAGCTTTCTGAGCACAAGTAGTCAACAACGCAGCCTAGGCAGACACCATTGTAACCGTGACTAGGCTGTAGCCAAGCCCACTGAGGAAACTGTGCCTGTTTAGTCACAGTCCCTTGTTCCCTATGTCCCTATTGACTGTAGCTCATGACCTAGAAGGCACATTCTCTCAGCTGCTTCAAGATTAACCTGCAGTTGCTGAGCAATTGCAATATGTTTCATCGATGGGTGCCCTACAAAGATAGAAAGAAACTAGAATGAGCAGAAATTTCTGGTTAAAAAAAGAAGAAAGAAAGCTGGCATTGAGGATACATTAAAAATGGTACATCTTTTT